TGAATAGGAAAGTCTAAAACGTTAATTTAATGTGCATTATTTTAATGGATATCTCTCAGATACTATTAATAGTTTTATGGAAAAAAAATATTTTAATCTTATACCACGCCATTATCGTCAAGGAAAATTTTCTCGTCAGAAAATATAATACATCCGTACATCCCGTCATCGGTACGTACCTACTTTTGTATTTCAAGTATTACCATAATTTACTTCAATATATATTTATAAATATTTCATATTCTTGCTGTCTGTTAACTGAAATTATATTAGTAAGATGAATGTCTTTATTCATTTCTGAGTAGCTACTTAGCAATTACGAACAACCATTTTTTAAAATCGCATATACTTACTATGACCGTAAATTCAAACATCAACAATTACTTGCAACTTGCAATGACTTATTGCTATGGAATCTCCTCTATCGCAATACTTATCTTAATGCATTTGCGTCTTAGTTAGTGTTGACACAAGACATTTAGGCTTTTAAGCACTGAACTCTTAAATTTTTTCGTTTAACTTTTTAGGAACATGACAGATATGTTATCAAAACGATTACTTGTCTTGAAAGAAAACATTTTTTAATATATTCAAATTTATGTATAAAAGAATTATGATTTCAACGAAAGTACACTTAATTAATTTGATGTAAATGAAATTATTTAGACTAAGTCTGTCTAACAAAGCAATTCGCTACCTAGTCTGAAGTCTGTGCTCATTATCGCTGCAAATCTTCGCACTTCTACTTATCCTCTTAGCATGGCTTTTAGACTCTCCAAGATAAAAACTATAGAGATTCATATGACTAATAACTCGCAGATGTAACATGCATCAAAAATAAAGATTAGGGGATAAGGTACCCGCCCTTTGAACTGATAATTAAAAATATGTTATTATCTCCGATCTTAGAACCACCCAGGTAACTTTGCGGTTGTTTAACGGATGTAATTAAGTTTTACACTAAATATTTATGTATATAGAGTCATTTAGTTAAATTCATTTAATTAATCTTTTTTTTTTTTTCTTTTATGATACATTACGAATATTGATTCAAGTTTAATTCCTCTTACAATAATGTAGGTAAAATTAATAAAAACGTTTTGTTGCAATGTTAAGAAAAAAAAAATGAAAAATTTTATGAAGTGCAAGCAAGTTAAATCATACAATAATCTTATTTAAGTACTATAACTTAATCACAGTAATAATTTAGAATATCACTTCATCAAAGCTTTGTGAGTGAAACTAATATTTTTGGATGTACTATTTTATTTTTGATAAAAAACTACATTCTTAAATAAGCTTTGTGAGATAATGTAAACATCTTCGTACTCTCAATCTTATGGACAAACGTCGTTAAGAAAAAAACCTGAAGCTATAGGGGTGGACATTCTCCTGAAATACTTTGCCAGAAATTAAACCTATCTCCGTTATGTAACCGAAATCCACCCTAAATGTAGAAGTCAAATGAATGCAATGCTATCAAATTATTCTATAACCTTTAACGTATAACGAACAACCACAGTTTAATATAAAGAACACTTAAACATATTTCCTTGAAAAAATATGTTTTAAAATAGATCAAACAACGTATTATGATACTATAAATGTATAGACACCGTGCTAATCATAAAAACATTAACGTGTTTGTTTTTGAAAAAGTTAATGGACTAATTTCGACCAGGAACATATGCGTGACATTCTTCGCCTTCAACACGTCCCCTGCGAATTTAAATTCGTTATTCCTTAGCTCTTCCTTCCACCAATGATCAGGGCGTCCAAAAAAAACCAACTCCACCCATCAACGGAAACAGCTGCACTATAATAATTACTACAGAACTGAGTAAGCGGTGAGCAAATGTTGATAAATATACTTTTTTTTATACTATTTGTTTATAATCAGACATAATAAATTAATCATAATAAGTTCACTAGATATTTTTAACTAAAAATAATAATTTGAATTATAGTGATAAATATTAGTGGCCATGAAAAGCGCTTATCGGTCTTATCGCCCGTTCGTTTCTCAGGAATATTTAATTCTCATAGGAAAATATAATTGAAAATAAATGGAGATGTATATAGTTTTAATTCTGAAACGTAAATTGACTAGTCCCAGATGCGACTTAACTAAGCTTATCGTAATCAAAGTAGATAACTTTTGATTGCAAAACCTGACCGTAATCGAAATCTGTCAAGATATTTCATATCTTATTTTAAAACTCGAATTAAATTAAACTCACTTCATACCTGCACATAATAAATGTTAAAAATATATAAAGACTTTATCAAAAGAAACCCGTTGAAAAGTGAGGATGAAATATTTGATGAGGAATGATTATGCCATTTATTCATGAGATAACGGTTTTATATTATTGGATCTCACATCCTACGCGTGACTATAAGTAAAGTTAAAAATTTTATTGACTATTATTATATTCATTGTTAGTTTCTATTGAGCCATGAGCTATTCATTAAAAAAACTTTCCAAAGTTTTGAGCATTCCCTTCCAGTGTACACGAACTGAATGTTTGAACATATAATCAACTCAGTCTCAGTGTCCAAAGTTAACAATTTTTTCCAGTTTAGTAATACGACGAGTTAGAAGATATCCAGCAATTATTTTTAAAATGATTTATATAAAACAACAGTAAAAGTTTTACTCTAATAAAAAGTAATCTTTGTCTATTTCTCAATCATCATTCAAACGTCAATCTATCTTTTGAATGCAGTTTTCGTATCAATAGATATGTACATTATAATAAAATCGTATAAGACGATAGCATCACAATCTCCGGTCAAAAGCTAAAACGTCGTTTATAGGGACATAAACGTTTATAGAATCATAAAGCAGAACCAATCTATTGTTTCGAACGGCCTACGTCTTCGGTCGACATAACTAATCGAGCCATTCCCCTTTTTGTTTTCAACGGACACATTATCAATTGTCACCTCGACTTTAGATATTTTCCACGCTAGTTGATGTCTGGGTTTCATTTGGAACTGGTTTTGGATAAAGTGCCGTCTATAAACGATAGGGTATCGTATTGCACAGGAAAAAAGGTGATGAGTGTTTGAATTGTAAGACTATTGGCGTGAATAGATTGCTTTAGGACGAAGACATGGTCCGAGACGATAAATACGATTTAGAACTGATCATCTGATATGTGAACAAGCCGTATCATGTTTCACTAAATAATTAAGTTATTTGCCGTCACCGTGATTCCCGTCAAAGTTATTTTCTGTATAATTCATCCGGGTAATTAGCAATAACGAGATCCTTCTTTATGAGCTTCCCAAAAAGATGATTAATATTTCCGAGATATCCCTACTAATATTATAAATGCGAAAGTAACTCTGTCTGTCTGTCTGTCTGTCTGTCTGCTACGCTTTCACACCTAAACCACTGAACTGATTTTAATGAAATTCGGTACAGAGATAGAGTTGACCTTGAGAAAGAACATAGGATAGTTTTTATCCCAGACTTTTGAAAGGTTCTCTTGGAAACGCGATATAACCGAACTCCACGCGGCGAAGCTGCGGGCGGAAAGCTAGTTTGTTTATATATCTGACTCTTTGGTCTTTTGTTAAACAAACATAATTTATATATAATTTATAATATAAAACGTATTTATTTAAAATCAATAAAAACCGTAAAAATCATTATTATTTTAGCAAAGACGTTTTTGATCTTGTTCTACAGTTCAAACATAGAATTATATATTATTACAAGAAACTTAATACGTCCTATAGAGTTAAAATCGGTCATGTAATGTGTAGAATGTAGATAGCTCTTGACAATGATGTATTGTCTCACAAAATCAATTGCTCTCTGTATTAAACAGTTAAATAAGGAGAGACATCGAAGTGCAATCAAAAGTCAATTACATCGGTATTTATTCATCCCGCGTCCAACGATGATTTATAGTTTCGCAGCGGGTTAGCGGCGCGCGCGCACTGTCGCGGCGACTTTTATAAAATAAGTTCCTTTACACACATCAAGATTGAGTCAAAATAAGAATGCTATATTATTTCATTATTCATTTTATAATATAATCTAAAGCAGCGTGGATATAACGATGAACTGTTCACAATGATTGATTTGTTCATTCAATTTGTAACAATATAGTAAGTCTGTACTCAGCCTAAAGCTCACTGGCCACGCCGCGATCTTATCCCGTTTGATCAATTTAGATAAAATAAATATTTATACATTCAACTTTGGACGGGCGAATAAAGTTATTCGTTAAATTGATTATGACGATGAAATTTTTTTTTCATACTCTCGCCTCTATTCAATCAATTGATGGTAGATACGAATTTATGGAGATGATGGTATATTATATGAACGAGCATGTCATAAATTAAGATTAAGGTTAAATGAAAATAGAAAATAATTAAAAATATTAATTTATTTTATGTATACTCTGCATTTTGGAAGCGTAATAAATACGTTTTTTTATATTTTATGTAATCATTACATCACAAATTATATACTTAAAATAAAACATAACTATTTACAATTGACTAGGGTACATTTCAGTTCTACAACAGCTTAAATATTATTCTACTTTGTTTTATACACATCTCACTTCATTCGTAAGGATAGATAAGTACCAAAATTATCACAAAACAGTCATAGTTCCCTATAATGAAGACAGTGGAGGAATTATACATGCAGTAACCTAACAACACTCAAGTTATTTGAAAGGAATGTATTGCTTTTAAATATACAAGTATCTTTTATAATGGGTAAACGTGCTTTCATGATAAACAGGTACAATTTTATGACATTAAATTATATTAAGTAATATCGTGGCAATAAAGAGGTACTTGTAGTACATGTATTCTTGAACAACATATACTGGAGGATACACATCAATTTCTAAACTTACTAGTATTCGTACAGCACCAACTTATCTCTTAAAATAAAGCATCTTAATACTATAACATATATATACAATATAGGTTTATCCACATTAATTTAAATCACATTTTTCGTTTTATACAAAGTAAGTCTTTCTTACATTAGTGGGCCTAGTATTAGACATAGCTATTTGTTGGGCGGGTCTTAGGGGTCTCTCCTCGCAGGGATGGTTATCGATGGATACGTAACTATGGTGGTGAGGCAACCGATCATCCGGTCGTCCTTCACTGCTGGCGACCGAACATGTCTCATCTTCGGTACTCCGCGCCGAAACCTCGGCACTCGCACTAGTTGAATGCATCGGACTTGACATAATAGACATTTGACGATCCATTCCATACTTGTACCAAGAATCATGAGAAGTCGGAGGTGCTGTATACCTCAAATTCACGTGCCTCCCAAACCCCTCCCTATTACCAGTTTTTATATTATTAGCGTTATGAATCGTCCGATTTGGTAACGTAATGTCCACGTCAGGCAACCAAAAATTTAATTTCTCTAAACAATACTTTTCACCCCACAGTATCACTGTACACGTTTTAAGCAACACTTTCAAGTCTGGATCGATACTTATGGCACTTAAGTCAGTCGTTACGAGAAAGATAATTTTTTGCCGCCTATGTCGCACATTCACTGAGTTTATAGCACATTGAACAGCCGCTTTCGATGCCGGCATGTCCCACTCTTGTTCTAAAAAGTTTGTAGATAACACTATTATAAGTCTTTTTGAACTTTCTGCTGCACTAACTAAATTATCACTAGATCGTCTTTCGATTAACTGTAAATCTCGATGTTGTAAGCACAGAGTATGGCCCAACTGTTCTAACTCCGAACTCACGACGCGCATGACGGGATCATCTTGTGGATTATACATAAAGAACGCGTCAAAACGTTTGTTTTTGTTGTCATTCACATCCTTCGAGGCGGAACTAAATACTCTTATACCATATTTTGAGTGCATCCATAGTTTAAAATCGTCTCTAAACATGAAAAGGAAAGCACACATAAGCAAAAGCACAGTTACTGTTATCAATCCAGCCACAATATACGGGATGTAATTCTCAACACTATCATTTGATTCAATAAATAATCGTTTCTGAGTCTCCGTTCCTGTTTCTTCGGTGGTAGTCTCAGCCTTACATTCTTTAGAAACAGTTGCTATAGTTTTGTTCATCGGTTGACCATGAGCAAAGAAACACATCATGTTATCCGTATCTTTGGATTTTTTAATCAACCATTGATTTAATTGTGCTACATCTTTACAGTCACATATCCAATTGTTCCCCTCCACAGATACTCTCGTGCGTGGATTATTGTCTGTAATAACTCGCCACGGCATGTATTCAACGTAACCGTTATTATCTAGACTCAAATATTCCAAAGAAGGCAAATAGTTAAATGTGTCATTTTCAATAAACCTTATGTTATTGTCTTGCAAATAAAGTTCATTCAGGTTTTGTAATTTCGTAAATTGTGTATTTCTTAACACCTCCAATTTATTATTTTCCAAATGAAGTACTCGTAATGATTCAATACCATTAAAAGTTTTATTTTGTATTGAAATTATATTGCTGTTATTAAGATACAAAACTTGCAAGCGTTTTTTGCCAATAAAAACATGATTTCCCAGTTCTTTAAGATCATTTCCATCTAAATAAATTTCAGTAGCGTCCATTGGTATTTGGTCTGGCACATGGTCATAGCCACCACTTGAGCAATCCACTACGTTTGAGCTCCACGTGAGGTCATGATAGCAGGAGCATTTATCTGGACAAGTCATTTTACAGTCACATGCATCAAAATCGCAGCAATGACATAAAGTGAAACAATGTGATTCATATTCACATAAAAATTCAAAAGATTTGACTTCCAACAGTAGCACATCTGAAATACTCCTTGAATGTGTTAAGGAGCATCTTACATTTTCTAAATCCATTACCCTGGGTCGCTGTCTAAGTTCACTTAATTGGTTTATTCTTTGTAACCATTCCATTGTACAGTCGCATTCGAAAGGATTCTCACTGATATAGAATTCTGGTAGATCTCTATCCTCAGGAACAAAAGAAATTGCGAATGCACCAACATCTAAAGTTTTTATCTTGTTTGAATATAGCATCACTTTGTTTAAATTATACTTCTGAAGAAATGTTCCTGGATTTATCTTCTCAATATTATTGTTATTTAAGACTACTGTCTCTATACTACTTGGAAATGAAAATTCATCAATGTTCCTTATTTTATTGTTGCTTACATCAAGCATTTTCACATTACATGTTTCTTTAACACCATAAGTGTCCTCAAGTTTTTCTATTTTATTTTCGTGCATGTCCAACCATTCAAGATTTGTTGGTATATGACTGTAGTCGAACCACAATAATTCATTGTTTGAGACATTTAACCACACAAGCGGTTGTGTTTTTGTAAAAATTCCTTTTAAATCTACTAACTTATTTCCATCTAATCCTATAGCTTTTAACTGTAGGTTAGAAGCAAAAGCTCCATCATCTATTTGATCAATATTATTGGAGGCCAAATTTAATATTTGCAAAGATGGTAAGGCAGAAAATGTGTCTTTTGAGATTTTTTCAATTTTATTTCCCACTAGTCGTAAACCGAATAAATCATCCAAGCCTTCAAATAAATTTGTTGTAACTTTTGTTATTCTATTCATTCCCAAGTCTAGAGATGTTAAAAATCTTAGAGTTTTGATAGCTTCAGGTACCTCAGATAATTGGTTCCCGCTTAAACCCAAATCATGTAATTTGGTTATATTTTCAAAGGAACGCAAATCAACTTTAGTTATTCTATTCCCATCAAGGAATAGCTGGTTTAATACGTATAAATTTGAAAAATGGTTACTATCTACCTCTACTATATTATTATGCGCCAAAGAAAGAGAATGTAGATTTTTCAAATAAGAAAAGGCGCCATCAGCTATTCGAGCTACGTTATTATATTCCAAACTCAAAAACTGTAGATTGTTTAAATCTTGGAACAATAGAGCATCAATCTTTGTTATTCTATTGTGCGATAAGTTCAAAACAATGAGACGCACTAATCCTGAAAATGTATCTCTATTGACCCATTCACTTGTCAGTTCGTTATAAGATAAATCCAATATTTGCAGTTGATCTAATCCTTCTAATAAACCGGGAGCCAGTACACTTAATGAATTGTTATTTAAATATATTTGTTTTATGTCCCGCGATGATTGAAACATTTCTGGAGGTAATGCAGTCAAAGCGTTTGTTGACAAATTAAGCATTTGCAGATCACTTAATCCCACAAAAGCACGATCGGCGACAGTGGAAATTCTATTATTTTGTAATAGCAACCTCTGAAGTGCTCGCAAGCTCGACAGACCATTGTCTGGAAGAGCACTGATTTCATTGTAAGACATATCTAATGTTTCTAGGACAGTATTACAGGATTTACCTGGTGCCGTTGGACCATTACCCCAATCTGAGAAACCCAAATTTGAAATATCTTGCAACCTATTTAAAGTAATATTTAACTCTTTTAAGTTATAAAGAGGACAGAATATTTCAGAGGGCAAAATCCATATATTATTGTCACCAAGATCCAAAGTCCTTAAATCTGTCAGTCCTCTAAATGAATCACGATGAAATTCCATTGACATTGCAGACCAATCCGTATTATGGGTCCGTATTGTTAAACTTCGCAAACCGCTCAATGGCGACAACACAGCTGACGGCACGTATCTTATTTTACACGATTCTATTTTCATTTCTTTTAAGTTGTGAAATCTCGACAAAAGTTCAGTTCCTTCCTCTTTCCTCCGTCCTATATCTAAAGAGCTCTCAAAGAACAGTACATCTGTGCAGTGAAGATCTAGCGACGTGATTCGCTGAGCTTGTGATGAACTAAGACCGGCCAGCAGGTCGGTTGCGCCTGCGGCGGTCCGTAGCGAACATGCGAGCTGTACTCGCGTAGGTTCGCCCGCGCCGCCGGACACACGCTGCCACTCGCACTCCTGTGGCGCCTCCGCCACTCGACTCGTGAGGGACGCTGCACCGACACACTGGTGCATCTGACTCCATACCGCGTACACAGTCAACAATCCAAAAAATTGCATTTCGATCACTTTATCCAACTCTAACTATTTAATACGTCACTACTACTATCGTTGTATACGCACACATTTCTATGCTAGTCTGGATGTAGTCGGAAAACTTTTTGAATTTCCCGTCAAACTTGTTTCGATTTACGATACATAACGGACAGTGCGCTATCGGATGCGCTACTACACCACTCTCGTTGAGTATCGTAGTACGACTGACTGACTGCGGGCTGCTAGCATGAGGCGAGAGTCGTGCCCCCCTTCCCCCCTCGGTAGAGTCGCTCCTCCCCCGACAGAGACACCTGATATCAGTCTCTCTGTTGTTTGAAAAGTTCACAACGGCAACAAGTTGCTCACAGCACGATTGGCATGAACGGGAGCGCGCTTGGCGAGCTTTTATAAACACGGCGCTTCTTACTCTGTTTGTTTTTACCTTATCATAATTATTCAGTACAAATTGCATGTTTCGTGTTTCGACTAAGTATTAATAACAAAAAGTATTTTCGACGTTCTACATGAAATATTCAATTATTACTATAAATCTACACAATTATTCACCGAAATTTAAGAGTAGACAACATCAACTGTTTGTAGAGAATCACATGCATACTAAACTGGAATAAAATATGTGCAATAAGCGTAATTTCTTTTGAATTGATTTCGCTTTGTTCCATATCTCCAATGAATACCTGAAATAATGACGCATTTAGCACTTTGCGATAACCCGCCTCTTATCAGAGGGACTTGTTAAACCGTTCAAAGTGACATCATGACTTAAGAGTTTCCTTCCACATTTCTCGCAACCGAAATACTTAAATCCTTTTCTAATACATTAGCCGGCTTTGTCATTACTTTATCTTACTCAAATACACTTTGGTAAATAGGTACGGTCTCGACACATAGAGAGGTCTTGTTTGAAGGCCTAAGTAATACATTAAAAGTAAATACAGTCCTGTAAGTAATATAGACATTTAAATAACAAAGTAAGACCATATTATTTATTAGCACAATATCATATAATGAATAGAAAACAATTTTTTTTTATCAAACTGACTCATTGACAAATTTTCATATAAACATTAATTCACAAACAATGGTACTTCTAATATTTATTTTGAAATGTCAATCAGATATGTCGAATACATCGACATAATGGCACAAGCATTCAATGATTGCACTCCAGTATAAATGAAGTCGGTAAGCATAAAAGACTTTTATTAGCACCGCGGTTAACTCAACAAAGAGGTAACTAATCAAAAAAGGCTCTTTAGTACTCACTGTGGTATAAGTTGTTCCCTACAACATGATTATGTACTTTTCCTCTCAATATTTACACATATATGCAAATTACTTAGTTATTGATGGACGTAGTTATTAAAAAAACATTAACTAATACATCTCGCTTACAATGCATGTCTTAATCACCGTTTTACAAATACATAAAACGAATAACATGTTAAGAGTAATGTATTGTAATAGAAATGTTATCGAGGTAAACAAACTAATTATTTATGAATAACTAGTGTTTTAATATAAAGTTATAAATATTAATTCTCCGTAACACTAAACAGTGTCATTAGTGTACAACCAGTGACGCCCTCTGGTTCAGGAAGCTGTAAATCATACTAGTAACTAACTGCTACCGTCTTTACTGGAATCGCGCTTGATGAAGAAATGACGGATCACATTAATTTTATAAACCAAAAAGTCTCAGTAATATTTTAATTCATATAATTTTATTTGTATCAACTTAAAAACACCAAAAAATTACTTCACAAAAGTAGATAGTAATAACTCGATTCGCTCAGGTATAAAATTGAAAATCAGAAAGCAACGCCATCTAGAAAAGAACACTGTAACTAATTGACACAACAGCAACTTTTTTCTTTTATAAAAAGTAAGATATTCGAAATTGTAGTGAACATAATAGGATTTCGTTTTACTTTGTTTCAAAGCTCTCAATACACTGGAAGTCGTTAAGAAGGGCCGATTAAAACGATCATCTAGTTTTTATTGCGCACGCATCCTGCTCAGGAGACTTCTAAAGAAAACAAAATTTCACCGGATCTGTCACCATAATCGTTTGATGTGCTATGAATCAAGAAGAGCTTGTTAACGTTCAAGCTATTAATCAAAAACATATGGCATTGATATTGAGGAATATATTAGATTTATAAGGCTATAAATTAACTCTATCATAATGTGCTCAAGTTAAAATATGATACAACTATTGACTATAAATTTAAAAATACCTTTTGGAACGATTTTATTTGTATAATTTACTTTACTTGTGCTCGAACTGCATTCGATATTTGAACTACCGATTGCATTATGCCGTTATATTGTGGGTGTTAATTTTTTTTATAAGAAAATAGTAAAATTATAAAAACATCTAAATAAAAAATATAAATAATAACTTTATGAGTATATTGAAGTTATTTAACTAAATTTTAATCAGACAGGGTGGATGCTATTAATTTAGGGGGCGACAAAGCAACAATACCTCATGTCGTATGAAAACAACATGTGACTTTGATCGCCATATCCAACCACATTACAAGTTAGCTTCCCGCCAACTGTTACCCACATTATCTGTCAATAAATAGATTCTATTGTGCCCCTGTGAAAAAAACGCATAAATCGAATCCATCTTACTATGCCATTCAGTTCCACTCATACACTGAGGTCCCTAAAGACCCATACTTTTGGCAGTAAACGTCAAAATATTTTCTATCAGTTGTGCTAATGGTTGCAGTTTGTAAAGTCGGCATTAACTTCATATTGTTATGTTATCCCAGTATTATATTGCCAAATGGCATTCCTGGATCGTGTTTTATACACTATCCATAGTATTATATGATTAATAGCTTATAAACCAATGAAGTAACCACTTGTTACGAATTTTTATTCCATATTATTTAACATAATAAATACATACATATATTATATACATGAATATTTACATACATAAGTTCAGCACTCCTTTGTTACCCACATTTATTAAAGGTCTAGATTTATTCAAAGTGTCAATAAAATTTTAGTTTATTCAATTTAATAGGAGCCCTGAAATGTTGTGACTTGTGTACGTTAAAAACCGATTTCATGTATCATAAACACTTAGGAATTTGCCAATTTATAGCATCTTTTAACTAATTGCTATATAAAGGTCTATTATTATAAAAACTGTAGCTGAGCCATATTTTACCTTTTGTCTTAATAGTGATCATCGTAAGACATTGGTTTACAAATCATACTGTATTTTTTATATTTGTACATCTAGGTACTACCATGTTTTAACAATGAGACAAAACAAAATTACCTAACCAAAGATACCATTTAAGTTTGATTTGATTAGTATATTTAACTTCTAATTTACTGATATTGAAAAACACAATACGTATGCATAAAATACAATTACATAGATTGTAAATCATAATTAAAATAAAACACAGTCTTAGTATTTTCCTCTAAATTAATTTGAGTTTTAATCCATTACAAATATTACAATATTAAAGAAAAATGGTAATCTCCAAATCTATTAAAAAGATATTTAAAAAATTAAGAACCTCTACCAATTTAATGATTCCCCAAGCGATACAAAAAAATATGACTAATAAAGACTATAACGATGAATCCTGCGGTTTGAAGCTACATATACCTATACAATAATGACATAAAACTACAAACGATGGTCGCCGTGATTATTCAATTTCACCAAAACTCTGATTAGATTATTCTGTTATCATAAGAAATTCGTTAGACGTGGAGCGCAAAAAAAAATTATGATGAGAATTCAAGCCCAATCCCCAGATACTTGACGAAATTCGAATGAATGTAATGCCATTATGATTAGCATTATTTGCTTCGTAGGGGCCGTGGATTCCGGTTTTCAGAATAAAGCGAATTTAGCCAATACAAAACATTTTTTATAAAGCATTTTTTAAATTCACCTCAAACATCTGTGTTCGATCTCCGACAACGGCGGCTTAATCGCATTTGTTACGCCACATGTTATTAATAGATGAATGGTTTGTTTGAATATTTTGGTGACATCAGTGTTGTAACATTCATTATTAAATATTAGTGGTTCTTGATATCATTTCTATAATGATAACTAATATACTTTGTTAGATTTTGAAGGTTGAATTATCACATCGAGTTATATGCACTGAAAATGTAAATAATATATAATCAGTACAATTTAAAATTTTATATTTTGAATGTCATAGAACCAAAACAGTAGTAAGGAAATTAAAAATATTAAATGTCAAATTTAATGTTTATATCGTTATCTAAATCGTCAAAGACACTAAAAAATCTATAACTTTTGGATTTACAGAAATTTATGTGGGGATTTTAATAAATAATTAGATATAGACGAATCTGTAAACATTGAGCAGAAAGTTTTTATTTTCTACCACATTTTATAGATCTGGTTAATCCGGTTAGCTTTGTCACGGACGTTTAGGACTCGCTGCACTAAATATGAATCTTTACGCTTTTACGTTGACATTAATCACAAAAGACCGGGTGATTTATAGAACAACAAGCCGTTGTTACTTCCAGTTTAGTATATAGAGTGCTTAACATATAAGGCGCCAACAAAAGAATAATTCTCATAGCTCCTAATAGCTGAATATTTAAAGTGACCACCTTACATTACTAAAAGTGTCGTTCAACCTTAATATGTACTGAATAAATGACAAAGAGCCTCTATTACAAATAACGAGTTTTACTGTTTTTAATTTAGGTCGCTTTAACATAGTAATTGTATGTTATGAAAACCTTTTATAATTTATTGCCTTAACCAATGAAAAGGAACACACAGACGTTATTTTTACGACCTAAGAAGTATTTACACGTAAGTACTCATATAATTTATGAGAAGCTTAACTATATGATAGGAATATATGAATTCTTGGGGCTTTTGAATTGTACCATTATTTCACGATCAAAGCAAAAGCAAAAGCAAATCCGCGTATAGCTTTATATGAATACCAGCCTTTAAGGCTTAT